GGTTTGGGGTTGGGTGGGGTGGGGTGGGGTGGGGTGGGGTGGGGTCTGGTTTGGGTTGGGTGGTGTTTGGGTCTGGCTACCCCCAGCAAGGCTCGTGCCCGCCTAAACTTAAGGCGGGCGCGAGGTTTGATGGGAGTAGCATCCCATAGGTGAAAAAAAAAACATCGGTCACCTGCACAAAAGAAGAAACAACAAAAACTAGGCAGACGAGGTCCAAAGGGAAAGGAAAAATGCACACAAAAGATACAAAACAAAACATACGGCTGCACAAAGTTTCCACATGGAGTTATGCCGTATAAAACATCACGGAGAATAACAAACAGTACTGTCGAAGTAAGCGTACCATATGAAATATGAAAGGCCGAAACGTGTGTGCACCCAGAAAGGTTTCACAATGAACCATCTGCATGAAATAAGAAAAATGTGCACTGCCTAGTAAGGAAAAAGACCATCCTACAGCGACAAACGATAAAGGAACGTGTCAAAACTACATAATGCGGTAGTGCCGCTGACCACTAACAATCACCAAAAAGTCAATGGCGTCCAGCGTGTGTGTGGGGGCTCATGCTCCGCCGCTCTCCACGCTCCAAGGTCGTCAGGCGTGCCTCGTGTATCGACACGTCCTCCTCTCCGTCAGCCTCCTCTGCAGCGACGTCAGTGTCATTGTCGTCAACCACTGTGACGCCATCCAGTCTCATCTCCCTCTGCGACGTCGCTAAGAGGTTGTCCGTACGACGTCTCCCTCGCATCATCTCCAACCCCTCGCTCCCGGTGGTCTCGCCGTCCAGGCGTGATGCTCGTCTGGGCAGCGATCGCTGTGTCCTGGGAGGCCCCAACACATCTAACACATCTGCACCGAGGATGTGTGAAACCTCCCTCAATCCGTGAGTCGACACTCGTGCGCCGGGCGCTGCAGATCCACGTCCGCCCACACCCCCTCAACCTCAGCACCCGACCCGCCACGATGCTCGAACCCAGCAGCATGCACCTCCCTCGTCGATGATTTGGACGGGCGTCTCCTCCCCAACCCGGGCTGCCTCTTCCTGGTACCCGCGGTCGACCTCCTCGTGTTGCTCCAAGGAATGTAAGTGTGGCCAAGTAAAGAAGCCACGGCCCCCGCTGTCGCCTGTCCACGCTCTCGAGGCCTACCCGCCGCTGAGGTTGGCGCAGAAGGTCGTGTCCCGCGATTTCGTGCCACACTGGGAGGGGACTGCGCCGCACCGACTCCCATGGCACCCACCGTTACCGAAGCGTCTGATGGCGGTGTTGGGCTAGCAGGACCCCATGAAACGGACTGCACGCGTGGTAGTAGTGCTTTGCCTTTCTTTGAGCCGATCCTCACTCCACGTCTCGTCTCTGTGAGATATGTCGCAAGGCAAGCGCCCAACTCATCGACAGTCATCGCGCCGAACATCAAACTGCCTCGTGGCTGCTCTACGTAACGAGGTGGACGACTGTGTGTCCGAAAGTTGATTCAACGGGGGTTTTGAGTTGAACGGATCAACTCCCGTTGAACCCCCGTCGCAACTCCCCGTTGTACCCCGTTAGACCGGGATACAACTCGGCCCGCGAAACTTTTTTTCGGCGGCAAAAAAACGGTATACATATATATATATATATATATATATATATATATATATATATATATATATATATATATATATAAGCGTGTAGAGTTTTTTGCTCTCTACATCCCCATATTTAAGAAAAAAAAAAATTAGCATCTAAATTATTTTTCAAAAATCAAAAACAGAAGCGGACTCAAAATACAGAGATTTGTTTTTCCAGTTTTTTTGATTGATTGATTGATTGATTGATTAATTGGTGGGG